TAGCTTTTAAAGAAATTTGCTTGGCTGACGTTGGCAAAAGATTGCTCATCTACTCACCACTTCTTTGTTCATGCGTAGATCATGTGCTAACTTTTCAAACGAGAACATTGAGTAGCAATGAGTTGGGAAGTATTGCAACTGACTCAAAGATTGAAAAAACTGCCTAGTGGGAGTTATCTGGTAAATACGGAAGAGCCTTTATACCAAATATATACTAATGTTCTAGCTTGGTTCTCATCTCAAATTTGCACGAAAAAAACGCAAAAGCTTTGGACCGACCTAATTAGCCCGACGATGCTACACGATGAGATGCCCTTTTAGTACTTCTCGTCTAAATAAAATTGAGAAGAGCTAGTCTATCAAAACTCAGTCAATCATGAAGCGTAAGCGGAACGCTTAAATGCTCTGCAATATTAGGATACTCGCTTTTCAAGTTATTGCCTGCCCTTCATGGCTATCACAAGCTATTTGAAGCGCATTCGTTGGATTGGCCTAGTTATTGCAATAACCCGTGGTTCTACGGTCGCGGAAGAGCATACGAACGAGCGCAGTCAAACTCAGCAGTAGATTTCCGGAGAGTAAGCTGGAAATAGTTCCTGGGGAGAATAACAAAAAGGAAATCGTACGGAGTCTAGGGATCCGAGTTTCCTTCCATTTCCGCCTTCCCAGTATTCAAAAGCGTCTCTGGCGCTACCTACCAGAAGCTCTAGTCATAGCATGTCTTTGACAATGATTCCTCAAACTCGAATGCTTCGCGATTTCAAATAGATTTTTTGAGTTGTTTGTGCCGTAAACATACGTCATATACTATTGAGTCATTCCGAAGGTTTTTCGTTTTTCATGCAATGTTGACTCTTGATGAAATTTTAAAAATTGCAGTCAATCAATCGTCCATATTCAAACTATATTCCGTCAGCTGACAGATTTGTTTCTAGTTCAGTTGGTCTAGTCTTTTTTTGTGAACAGGCCCTCAAAGACAAAGCGTGATCTTCAACCAGTCTTCAAATTCTACGAAA